ACATCTTTTAAAAAAGTAAAGATGGAAGTGCTCATTTTTTATTTTATTTTTTTTCAAAAATCGAAATTTAAGAATTTTTTAATTTATATTTTTTTCTATTTTTCAAAAACCATAAATTCTCGCTAAACCCTCCACGCGGTGCAATTTTTAGCCGAAACTTCCGAGTAGTTCAAAATGCCAGTCTGAATTTTGGGTTAGCAAGGAATTAGTTACGGACAAAGGCCATCCCTCATGTTTGAAGCTCTTACACAAATTTTGAAAGACCACAATAACAGTGGAGTTTTTGCATTGGTTGCAGAGGATGGGCCATGGATGAAGAGGTATAGAGAACTGAGGCCAAGTATGTTGGTTTTGGGGCCTTAAGAGAGGCTTGCGGTTTTTACAATGCATTGGATGTTTTTGTGATGATTAAGGCTCGGGGTTTGGACCATACTTTGCTTGCGGCCATGGCTTCTGGTAAGCCGGTTATGGCGACTGGTTTTGCTAGAATTACAGGTTCAGTGATTGATAGTGAGGAGGTTGGGTAAACTTTTTCACCTACTGTTCACTCTATGAGAGTTTCTCTCTCTAGAGTTTTAGCAGCGGGGGAAAGGGGTCTTGGAGAAGAAGGGGAGAAGACTAGAGAGTGAACGGCGAAGCTCTTCACTTGTGCAAAAATGGATACGGCAAAAACTGCGGTTTTTTAAAAACCGAAAAAAATAAAAATTTGGATTTTCAAAATCCGAAATTTTAAATTTTGGTTTTGGAAAAATCGAAAACCGACAGCTTTTATTTTTAAAAGAAGTGTTTTGAAAAAATAGATATTAATAAGAAAAAATATCTCCGTACCTTCTATTTTTTAAGTTTCATTTATCCGTAAACCCAATATTTCAAAACCTATCTAACGTAAAAATTCTATTTACTATTTATTATGTCTTCAAACCTCTAGATCAACTTTATCTTATTTTTTAGCCCAAACAATTTTATAAAAACATCTTTTTTAAACCCCTCTCTCTACTTTTTCTCTTTCTCTCGCCATTATCTCAAACCTGTGACTCTCTATTCCCGCAACTCTCTCTCCCTCCCCCATGTCTTCTCCCTGTTCCCCAACTTTCTCTCTCCCCCTCAAAGAAGCACTTGAATATAGAGGAAATAGAGAAAACTAGCTTTTTAAGAGAGATCTTTTTCAAATTTGTTTGGGTTAAAAAGTTGAAGTAAAAATGAGTAAAGGAGTTAGCAGATATAAAAAATAAAATCTCTATGTTGTAGGATAAGTTTGGGTCCACAGATAAATGAAATTTAAAAATTGGGTCTACAGAGATATTTTTCCAATTAACAATAGAAATTTAGAGATATTTTCATAATAACGGTAAATATAACGTATATATACATAATTTGCATTTCTTTGTAATGTTAAAATCTTTCATTTAATTTTTTTATGTACTTGTTTTCTACCTATTACAATAAGGACATGGTTTCTATGCGGCCATCATACATATTGTAAATATGCGGGCTTAGCAATAAATATATTTTGATCCTAATTTTTTGAGAATATATAATCTTTAACATGGAGATCATGAATACGAACAAAATAAAATTTGAAACTAGAAATAATAGTTATATTAAGAAAACATTTGAACACTTAGTTACACTTGTTTTTAGATGGACCACCTATTTGCATCCATCTTTAAGATGGCTGTATTATACCTTTATACCCCGCATATTGTAGAAATGCGGGGTATTTTTTCCTTACAATAATACCATGTAATTTTTAAGAATTACCAAATTGCCCACTTTCAGATGTTTGAAAAATTGCATTTTAGCATCTCCTCAATATCTTTGGATTTTGAAAATCTAAGTAATTTGAAAATTGAATTTTTTGAATTTTAAAAATTCAAGAAATGCATTTAAGGTCCAAACAATTTTTTATTCTATAAATCTTAAATTTGTTTGAAATTTAAATTTTCATATTTTTAAAATGCAAAAATTACATTTTAATGTTCCTGAACATTTTCGAATTTCAAATCTTAGCAACTACAAAAGAATATAAGAATTAATAGATGATTATTTCTAAGAGAAAAAATTTAAGATTTTGAGTTTTGCTACACTCCGATCTAGCTCTTCAAACACTAGATAGTCTCCATTCAATCTTGAGGCATAAGTTTCTTTAATATATATAGAGCTTATTTTGATTTTTTTTTTTTTGTTGAGATTATTCTATTGGTTGTTAAATATCCCCACCATTTGAGGTCTAAAAAATATCCCTAAAATGTATTTTACCCGAGGGAATAAAGAGATAGTATACTCCCGATGGAGCAAGGAATCTTTTAGTAAAATTAATGACAGTGTCAAAAAGGGATATCGCGTTTATCATAGTGTCAAATCTACAATTTCCAAATAAAATAGACAGTGTAGAAACATTTGTAATCTTATATAAACTATTTCTATTAAATGACTTTTGTTATGGTACTCCTAAATTTGGAGTATTTCATTAATATACTCAATACAAAATGAAACTCATAGTGAAGGTGGCAATGGTCCTAAGTATAGACTCGAGATCCGATGGGTCGGGTCCGGGGTCCAAAACCTAGACCCGAATACATTCGGGTCTGGGTTTGGTCCGGGTCCGGGTCCAACGACCCATTGCCACCCCTAAACAAAGGGCATACCTGGCATCATTAAAACATCTAGGGTAACACGCTTCTGCACTTGGAGGATTGCACGCTCTCCTGCACTAATCTAATCTAATCTAATAGTAGAGGATTCTTAACTCCAATCTAATAGTAGAGTAGAGGATTCTTAACTCCAATCTAATAATAGAGTAGAGGATTCTACACTCCATATGGTGCCTGACAATAGCTATACGGGTGATGGCATAACATTCTCCTCTATCTAGGGTTATACCTCAATGCTGGCACCGCAAGCTCCCCTAACCAATTGCAAGCAATGAAGCTATAGCGCCGCACCTATCATCATCATCATAGCTTTGTTTTCATTTATTTGAGGTTAGCTATATGAGTGATAGTTTAACATTCTCCTCTATCGAAGGTCATACCTTCAATGGAGTCATAAGTCATCATATATTTTCTCACTACTTTCATGTTCTTTTGAGCCTATCTTTCCCGGTTTAACCTTCCACTTGAACCAACTTACACTTCAAGTATTGTACTAAGTTAGGCCCAATTCCTTTTTTAACCTTCCACTTGAAGGTGTTGTACTAAATTAAGCCCAATTTCTTTTTTAACCTTCCACTTGAACCAACTTACTTCTCAAGAGTTGTACTAAGTTTGCATTGCACATGCCACCCACCTATTTTATCTCATCTTATCACCTATTGGAGCTATATGTAAATTCTCTCAAATGTATTCATTTAGAGTCATATTCCTTGTTATCTTATCACTCATCCATCTCAATATCTTCATCTTAACAACACTCATCCTTATACTATTTCAAAAGTCAGCATTAACTATTCTATACTATTTTAACAGTCAGCTACAACAAACTGAGCCTATACATATATTATGGTAGTATGGTAAGCCCTTATGTAACGGGGCACTACAAGCGAAACTACAGAGCCAGCAAAAAGGAGCTACTCGTCCCACAACAGCTAGTTCAATCTCAATCTACAACGGAAATTTAAGAATTTTATTCACAGAACCTCGGAGGGGCAAAGAAACATTAATGCTTTTAAACTACAAATAAAATCGTTTTCAAACTACAAATAAAATGCTACTAGTTTCTTTTAGAAATACCTATACTTAAAAATATATATATATTACAAAACAAATAAATATCAACAAATATTGAGTACATTAAATAAATACTCCATGAATACCCTAACAAAATCTTAAATAATAAAAAAATATAAAAAAAGATCCACAATAATCCGCAAGGGCTCCATTCCTTGGTTAATCCAAGCAAGTAAACCAAAAATATATACTCCTCAACGTACTTCTGTAGGATTACTATATGAATTGAATCACAAGAACAAACTTTATGAGTAATACATCAAAAAATCAGGGCTTTTCACCTCATGCACATCCTTTCATTCAATAAATCATTCTCAGGCAGGGAGACTGTCTCCACACAATCCACAATAATCTTACTTACCACTATTACATACAACAGCACCACGTTAGCCATGGGACTCGAAAGTCGGAACAACCGCATGTGCCAAAAAAATGGGTGACGCTCCAAAACAAGAGAGAAAGAGAGAGAGAGTATTTTGTCAGCTTAGTTAAGCAACTTTGACTCCACTTGGTCGTTTCCCTTCCATCGCATCCTTTTTGTTTCGACAATCTGCACAAAGGAATGGGCCTTGCCATGGTTTTGAGCTGATGGAGAAGAATGAACCTGCATGCACCGAGATTCCCTCACTCGGTGCCAGGTCTACTTGGCAAACAGCACACGTAAATAGCCCAGAAGGTGTTTGTCCCGACGTGTCATTCCCTAACCTGTAATCCCCATTGGAATGCAATTACTATTGATTTATAGAGAGAGAGAGAGCAACAACAATCATAAAATTATGCAATTCACTAGATGTTTAGGATAGCTGGTATGCCGCAAGTTAAATTACTGGACACTAATTTCCCCGTTAGTAATTTAACTAATTTCCCCGTTTAGCAATTCAAATATTGGTCATGCAATACATCTCATATAAAAGAAAGCAAACGTGAAATGCATGCATCTACATACAGAAGAAAGGGGGAATACCAATGGTCAAACCCTCTTAACAGAAAATAAGTAAAGGGTGAGAGAGTAAGCAATCGAGAACGGATGCTAGATGATACTGGAACAAGCTGGTATTTAGTGACAAATCAAAGTCCATACTGACGATATTTCAATCACATAAGGTTAGGTTGGAAAGCCTCCAACAGCATTTCACAGGGTCCTTAGTTACAAATGAGAGTAAATATTTTTATCCAGCATACAGAAATATTTTTTATTCTCTGCTGAACTTATTAGCAAAGTAATCATCCATCAATGAAAGACACAGAAAAAAGGGGGCAAAAAAAGCCCAACAAAAAAGTAACTTCACCATTGCCAAACTACAATGACAAAGATATAGACAAACCTTCCATATAAAAGAGAATTTAATAATTAAACGCATCCCAAGCTCAACAAGAACGATCGGGAGCATCAATGTTTCCTACTCCAAAGAATCAAGGCACACAACTCGACATCTCATCTAAAATTTTAAAGTTATGGAAACCTGATGAGTTCAAAATTGATCGGCATATTGGCTTGGTCTCCCAAGATCGGCAAAAGGAAAGATTCCTAGCACAGGAGCATGTGGACTTTTATTGTTCAACCTAATCTCTCGAAGGAAGTACCTCTAGCACATGGATTCACTTCAGTATTTCATTTTTAAGCACCAAAGTGAAATGTCACCACATAGAGCAAGAACTTGGGAACCAAATAAAAATCAAAAGCATTGAAGGTAAATGTTTTCCACATATAAATCGACGCATAATGGAAAAATATTAAGAAACTTACGAAGAGAAGCATACAAAAGAGGGGAGCACAAAACAGTCTTATAGGACCTTAATGCTGGCATTTGGGAAAGTTAGACACTGACCTTTCGGCAAGCATTGCTGAGCCCTCTTCAAATAGTTCTTCCACTATACCAACTGCAGACAGTTTCTTGGTCAGTTTATTCACGGAATCACGAGACCTTTTCCTGAAAATGAACGATCTAAGCTTGTTCTGCTTTTTGGGAGGGGGAGCCACAGGAACAGAATAGTCAGGTGGAATAATGTCGACAACGACGCAGGTTGTGTCATCTTTCAGGCCCCTTGACCTCAATGCTTCCTAATGCAATGATAAAGATAACATGAGCAAAGGGATGGTATTATTATTCTTTTTTGTTATTAAATGTGCAGGTATTGATCATAATTACTCAAGCCACACCAAGTCTAAGATGGTGTAAAGCGTTTGATTTGCAAAAAGTTATGTCAGAAGGATGCAGATATGCATGTCTCGACACAGCTCCTCATAAAGATGTCAGACAAGACATGTCTGTGCAACACCCACATGTGTGTTAGTGTATGTACATCTATTTTAGTAAAATTAACCTAAAAATTAAGACACATGCCCAAACCATAGACATGTCTGTCCAGTATTGTGGACACGTGCATCCAAAGTTCTCAACAAGTGCGTCTATGTGATGGATGTGTCCAAATGTTGGACACAAGTCCATAGATGTCAACACGTCCCTTTCATTTGGATATGGTAAATGACGTTTGATACGCCGAGGCCATGTGTCTACTCTGAACATTTTTAAAAGACACTGCACTACAGACACACCTGAACCATGTATGTGTAGTGTATGGAAACTGATACAGGCACCATTTCTAGTATGTGTCTAGGTGTATGGTAGGATGAGACAAAAAGCCAGCACAGACCAACAAATCCCTAAAAGTATTTTTCAATGGAAGTTATACAATATATATTGATTATTAAAAATAAAAAATATGAAATGAGAATGATTCTGTTGCAAGAAACTTTAAAAGTTAATTCATATTTATTTTCTACGTTGCAAAAATAATATTTATTTTGACACATTAATAATATGATATTGCATTATTGGTCCATTGTCACATTTAGAGTTCTAGAACATCATGCTCTCCTTAATATGTTGTGAGTTCAAATCACACAACCCACATTGGCTTTAAAGAACAAGTATGGCTATGAATTTTGTCAATATAAGTAAATTGTACAAAATTACAATAGAAGCTAAAAATATGAAGTAAGAATGATTATGTTGCGAGGAAATTGAAAAGTTATATGTATTTTTTTTAAAATTTTCGTCAATATAAAATAACACAATTTTCCAACATCATACACATGAAGAAGAAGAACAGTTGTAGGCTGCTTGGCACTCCACATTAGGTTATGGGTCCAAAGCCCACAACCATCATCATCATCATTAGAGCCTTGTCCCAACTATTTGGGGTCAGCTACACAATCTTGTTCCGGCATTCTACTCTCTCAAGGGCCATACCCTCAGTAGGACCAAAAGCGCTTATAGGGAACACCTGCAACCAACATCACTTTTTTATACAATAGACAATGTGTGTCTGATTGGCAGACACTTCTGACATGGAGCATCAACGTGTTGTCTCAAAAAGTGTCGACATGTGTAACACCCAAATAAAAGGATGTCAAGGTAACACTGGTCTCATGGTGATTCTAATGTTTTAGACAAAACTGAAACACGCCTGATAGACGTGCATTCATAACATAGACAAAACGACACCATTCCTTGGTAAGTGTGCTTCATGTATCAAACAAAGAAGGTTCTTAATAATTGTAGAGCAACAAATACAAAGGTGTGGCATCACTTATTAAACTCACCTTAACCACTTGCCTAGCAGCAAGCTCCGCAGGCAATCCACGGCAAGACTTTGCAGCCATGTCAGAGGATAAAGCATCCCATATACCATCAGAAGCAATTATCAGCCTTCCTCCAGCGTTTGATAGCTGATGCGTCAATGATACATATTAGAACCAAATGCAAAAACTCTCAAGGACTCTACACTCTGAGCCTAGTGGCATGGAGCTCTTCATCTTGACACAAGTTATATTCTTGAAACTCAAAATTGCCAACCCAAACCAGATTCCCTCGATATAAGAGATGGTCAGCCTACCATACATAATGATGGATATATAGAAAAAAACAAAACAAAATATAATATAAAATGAACAATCATTCAATATGATTATTATTTTCTTTGGAAGACAACAAGCATCGAAGATGTTTGATGACAAAAATATTAGAGCAAATAATCAAACTAGAATTAATTTCACAAAGCCTCCTGGCAACCAAAGTATAATACTGGTTCGTTCAAGTTTCAATACCTTTACTTGCTTGACATAAGGTATTGGAACAATGAATTCCCCAACGTCCATGTCTCCAATTGATCTTGAGAGACATAAACCTCCAGGCCAGCAGCGGAGAGGACCAACCTGTGAAGGAAACAAGACGTTGAAGAACCTCCTAGACCAAACATTATGTAGTAGGTGATAAAAAAGTGTTTGTCAATAATTTAAAGTTCCAAATAGCAACAACCCAAAAGATTCAATGGTTTTCTCACCTCAGCCCCACCAACAATGCTAAGTCTTCCTACTTCACCTCCACTGGCAGTCACACGCTCTCTCCTGAAGCCATTCAACATTGACAATGGGTAACTTGAAGTTTTCTTTAGAAAGCAATTTTTAGTTTTCAACAAATAAACAGAACTATGGACAAACCCAATAATATTTAAGTCAAATCCCAAAAAGGAACATACTCTTCAGCATTTTCTTCAAGCCTGTGATCAACTGTCAAAAGCGAAATGACACCACCCTGCGAATCTAAAATGCAGCGCGAGTCTCCAACAGATGCAACGGTCACAGTCCATCCATCGATTATCACAAATGTAACAGTGGTTCCAGAAGTTTCTCCTGGAAGAATTTTATATTTCCATAGTGAGCTTTTTGATATGATTATAAGCAGCCTATATTCAGATAGAATTGATAAAGACATGGTTAGACAAATGCAATTTCTATACATATTGAAAGTCCAGGCCAAGCAGAAAGCTACAAATAGGAACCAAAGTATAGCAGCTAAATGATTAGTTTCCTTCCATTTCTCTAATAAAGATGAGGCCAAATGACAGGAACATAAAAATTGTTTCTCCTACCTTTACTCTGGAATTCTTTGTCAGCCTTCACAAATCCTGCAACTAATGCCCGGGGTAAAGCTTGAAGCCACTCTTCTCTTCCAAGACCCCGAGGAATCGCGCTAACAACATGTTCAAGCAAGTGTTCCCTGGTATATATTGCTGCAGCATTCCCGTTGTGCCCATCAAAGATCTGTAAATTAGTTCATCGTGGAATGAACCTCTGACTAACCAAATTTGACCAAAAGCAACCAATTCTTGAAGAATTTCATATAGGTATTGAGTGAAATCCCAATCAATTATGTGAAAGACCGTATAATGGTAAAGCCCAGTTGCAATTTCTTGGGAAATAAGGCTGAGTAAAACCCCTATGGCCTAAATTATACTAGAAAAGCCAGACGAGATTCATAAGAACTTTGGGGGAAAAACTCCATGGAGAGATTCCACAACTGAAACGACAAATTATGAAGAAGAAAACTTTATTAACAATGAGAGAAATGGAGACACATTCCATTAGTTGTGGTGCATTGGCAAAGAAATCCAATTTCTTAATATGCAAATCAAATGTTAAAACCAGTGATTCCAAGATTTGGTGGGAGTTCGGACGGTTCAACTCTATGAATTAAACTCTCAAGAACCACAGAATTTTTCAAATGTGAAGAAACTCTGACCCCACCAAAGTGAAATATAAGGGTTCTATAAAGTCATAACACAGGGATCAGGAGCTGTAGATGTCCAAAATGAAGAAAGGGGAAATGTAAAAAGAAAGAGAGTAACAAGACCCCACATTCAACAGCTGAAACAAAGACCTCATTGATGTCAAGCATCGAAAACCCACATAAAACATAACAAATAAAAACCAGAGAAAATATCATCCACGAGCATGCCAGCAAGATAGTATATTTGGAATTTTGGATGGAAGGTTTGCTTGATCTAGGGCGCCAAATTAATTTATTACAACACCAACAGTGAGAATTTACACAAACAAGAGACTGGAAAGAAAAATATAAAAAAAATGAAAGGAGAGAGTGACATACTGCAAAGACCGAATATGTGGAGTTGGAGCTCCCAGGTATTCTTTGGCAATCAGTCTTAATCAAATAAAAATCTTCCCCCTTCTTAGCCTGAGCAGCATAACCATACTTAATACAAGGCTTCTCAATCTTCTCATTTCTCAGCTCTCTACTGATCAAGGCAGCAAGGGGGACCAGATGATGCCTCTTCCCTCCCTCTGAACCCAAACCACTATCGTCCTTCATGTTTACCACTTCAGTGACGTTCATGCCTTGGACCTCAGAACTGTCATGCTCTGGTTCTTAAACCCTAGACCGCTCTTGAAATGAACACGTATGCCCCCCTATCAAGTAAGATAATGCGTAACTGGCGCAAATAATTTCATGTCCTTCACCTGCAAAGCCAGCGAAACCCCACAAAATTCAAAGGGAAAGAGATTCAAATAAAAACCCCACCTTTCTAAACCATGGGATGGATTAACATGAAAAATACTAATGAATCATAGTTGCTAAAAATTTGCAAGAGCGATTGACAATTTTCTAGATGTTCTTGTGCAAATAAACACATTTTATTACATAAATTTGCAAATACTATCCTCCAAAATCTCGAAGTTTAGATATTTCTGCAATTATTTTCGTTTCTAAAAATCTAAACTTAAAGAAGCAAATATTTCACTATATTCCAAGATATTTGATGGAAAAAAAATCAACTTGAAAATTGAACTCAAAACCAGAGTCCTGTCTTTCCCATAACCAGTGCACATTCTTTTCTCATCAAAATTACAAACCCTAGCACACAATTTCACGGCCCCAAAAACATAATCCTAACAGAGATTCACAAAGAGTCCAAAACCCAATCAAGATACCATTACACGCTCAGAGGTGAAATAAATGCCGTAAATTACACAAAAAAAAGAATCGCAAGAAACAAAAGAAGTAGCTCTAATTCAAATCAACATACACAAAGAGAAAGCTAGAGAAACACTCACCATTTGTTCAAACTCAGAAACCAGTACTCGTAACTTCTAATATGAAACCCTAGAAAGTTCGGAAAAATGGATAGGATCAGGAGACATGAACAAGCGATAATAATAAGCAAAAGTCTACAAAGAGATTGCTTAATAGCGGCAATGCAAGGAAAGCAGCAATGTCGACAGAGAAACGCGGAAAGATGAGCAGATACGAACTGTATACCGAACAAAAATAAGGGAAAAATCTTTCAAACAAAGGAGAGGTCACTGAATAACCCAATCTTTCACTGAAATGACGAAAGCACCCTTAAGTATTAAATAATATCAGAAATAACCCCACCAATATTTTAAAAATGACAATCACCCCCCTGCCAGCGAAGTGGGTGCAGTGCAAACTTAAATGGACGGTACAAATAGAAAGACCGATTGAGAAGAAATCTCCACTGCCCACCTAAATATCATTCTTTTTGGTTTACTATTGGATAAAATATAGAGTTTGGTAGTCTTAGAGTATTTAAAATTTGGCAAGCGACCTTTCCAACATGTTCATTATGATACAATATGATAGTTGCACATGCATAGTGCAAAATGCACAGCTAAATAATCATGGATGTTTCAAATACAAGAAGCAAAAACAAAAATATTAAATAATAAGAAGAAATGAAGAAGATATCAAAAATATATCATCATTGTCAAAAATTATTCCCAACTAATTAAAGTTGGCTATACGAATCCTAATATGTTGTACTACTCTATTGAAAATCATACCATGAATCCCAATATTGATACTAGAAGGTCACAAATAGGTTGTGTGTCAAAGTTTGTAAATAACTTTTTTTATTTTTTAAGCAAAAGCACAATCAATAGTGTACTTCCAACCATCGGTTGTCCTAAATGATTTTGGCCATCTCAAATGTGGATAGACGTGGATGATCTCAAATGTGAATAGACGTTGATGTGGTGAAATGTATTACTTATATTTTGACTACATTGTCCTATTAGCTCATGGCTATAGCGTCGAAGCTTGCAAGTCCGAGACCTCATGGAACACTAGCTGTAATAATTTTACTTACCCAAACAAATATTTCTCATACTATTCCGGGCCGACAAATTATTTTATTGTAGCTTTAAAAATGAGATAAATCCATTTAAAACCTAAAAGAAATATACATCCATTTCAATCTCAATCTCAGGCATTTAGCGTAAAAAAGTTTATCAAAAAACACACAAAAGAATTTCATTCATATCAATCTAATTATCGGGCATTTACCATAAAAAATAAAAAATCTAATGATACACCTAATTGAGTCTCTAATTTTCAATATTCCCAATTTCTCCATCGGACGCCAAAAATTCTTGCTAGCCAAAATTCATTCAGTCTAAAAATTATTCCCATAATAAACATCATTTCTCTTCAAAATTCCATCCACAAAGCTATTCTGAGAATGGGCGTGGATCCCATTAGACTCTTACGATTTCTAAAAGGACCAAAGAGAATGTGAAATGATCATTTACCACAGGACGGGGTTTCTATGAGTCGGCCGACTCATATGCACACATGTGCCCCTTGCTAAAATTCATTTTAGATAAAAAAAAAAAATTGTAATCGTGTTTTTAGATTCATCATCTAGGCCAAGATGATCATAAATATGAAAATAAAAATATAATTTAAAATTAAAAATATAAATTTTTATTTTTTTTATTCTTCAACCTCAACGGCCCGGATCTATTTGTCCACCAAGATCAACGGCCATTACACTCCGGACATTGCTCTACGGTTTTTGGAGGCAAAGCGACCTTTATGATCGACCTCCTTTCCTTCTTCGTACAGGCCCATAAGCACAGTCATGTCATACCGGTAATTCCACCTATTGTTAGGTTAATCCACCTGAATAGTTGGTGGCTATATTGGCAATTTTCTCCATCCCTCAATCTCACGTTTATTCAAAGCATAATTTTCAAGATGGGAATGGATAATCGAGCCACGATCGGCCAAAGGAAATTTGTGCTTCATTGAAAACGGGTCAAAATAAATGTTATGGTAGCTTTTAGACTATAAGGTTGTTTATAAAGTTGTTTAAACTTGAGTTTAAAATAAAGTTTATCATTTTCATATTATATTTTTATATTATATTTATAAATCCAAATATATATAT